CACAAGAGTTTCCCTCTTGTCTCCACTGGAAGGACAGGACCGAAACAAACAGTGGCTAATTCTAGGTAACTGATGGACTTACCCTGGGGGTGTAKGACCTACTGTCATATTTTACTTGGWCAAATTATAATTATGTGGTTTTTTTCAACATACATTTTTGTGAACAATAGGATTTAATGCAGCAGTGAAACTTGAGAAAGTGGCATGCCAGCCAGTGTTTGTGAAAGATGTCCGACGACTGTCATCACAGCATCAGACATATTCACTAGAAGCATACCACTCTCTCATTCTGAAGTTTGCTCCGAAACAYACAGGGTTSTCGTACCTGGGCATGTATTCTAGGTAAATGTTATTTAGCTATTCTTTAGTTCTTATAAATATACTTCTCATGTTATGCATTAGTTACATTTTATGCATTAGTTACATTTAATAGTTCTTTAAATGTAATTGGGGCCCAATTTTACTTAATATCTTTGTTGAGAATAATTTTTAATCATTACAGATTGCTGCTGGCTGCTCTCCATTACAACAGCAATGGCAACAGTGACATAGTCAGAACAAATGAAGGTGTGGAGAGGTACACAGTGTGCTATCCACGCTTTAAGAGAGGTGAACGGTCTGTGCGTCCAGTGAAAGAGGAACCAACCTCTAGTAAAATGATTTCAGGTTAGTAGATTTTCTGTTTATTTATATCTGTCTCCTAATTGAATTTGTATGATTATAGACTATGCTACAGCACTCCTCAGGAAGCTGCAGGAGACCTACGACAGGAACCCTCAACTGCTGAGTGGTGCAATACCTGCAGAGAGGTCAGCTGATTCTGGACCACTGGCAGCTGTGTGTGACAGAGTGGACAAGTAAGAGGCTGTTGGGCAGTATGTCAGAAAATCAAGGTTTTCAGCACAGGTACATTTAGGYCCTTATTTACATAATTTGTTTACAGGGACGCCTTGTTCACCCAGGGCGCCAAATAGGCTAGGACTGCCCCTGGGTGTAAATTCAGACTGGAAGACTCCTCTCACCTCACCTCCTTCACCTGCCTGCTGCATTAAGTGCCCAGCTGCAGATCATCAGTGCCTGATCCTCACCTCACCGCAACCAATCATCTCGCCGAGATCATTGTTAAAAGGCCCTGCATAAAGGATTCGCTGCTCCCCAGAAGAGTTTTGACCGGCCTCCACCCTCAGCCAAGGTCCGGCTTCCTCTTCCCTCTRGYCTTCTCCCCACCACCAGTGTCCAGGCCCCAGGGGAGACATTTACTCTCTCTAAGCTGATCCTCAGCTCTCAGCATCTTGCAGCACTCATGTCCCCTGCCRGYGCTCGAGTGCCAAGCTYCTCTTCATTCATTCATTTCAATAAAACTCTTTAACTGCTATCGTTTCTCTGCGAGTCTTTCCAGGCTGAATTGATGTTTTATTCAGTTTTTGTTTTTTACTGTATTTTATACTGTATTTTATTGTGTTTTTGAGTACCATGCCTTGAGTGCCTTCAAAAAATGTATTATTATTATTATTTCTTTTTTAAGGTGGTCATGTTTAAATGATGGTTTCCATCTGGACTATTCAACTAAATTGCTCCAAGGTTCATAGTTACTGCAGGCCAAARGCTAAGGGGCCAAACATCCAGCAATTAAAGTCTTTATGTAAATAAAACAATTACTATAAAGACCTGCTACATTTTAATTAGTTTATTTTGCTGCATTTAATCATGAACACAACATAMAGAAYCCAATGTAATAAAAGTAGTGATGTTAAAAATGTATCAAAAACAATAACACATTGTGTCTCTTATAACACAAATATTATTGTGACATGTCTGACTTGCCAAATTTTTAAACCAATTTTATTTTTACATATTTTAGTTTTTTCTTCAACTGCTTGCTATTTTTAAACCGTCTTGGGGGTTCATAGAAATCATTTTTATCAGCTTTTAGCCAAGATTCTGATGTTTCTGTAGACACTACACATCTATGTCTAACTAAAAGAACCTACAGTAATTAAAGTAGAATACTGAGAGTTTGGGCTTAAGAGAATAATGAACCATTAGGCGAGACAGACTTTGGCCCGCAGGCCACTAGTTGAATAGCCCTAATCTACTTGATCACAAAAACAAACATCACTGATTCTTTACATACTTGACTTTGCTGGTGAGAACTTTGCCAGCATACTGCATCCCTGTGAGAGCAACGTACATCCTCAGGATCTCGTTTGTTCCCTGCAAACAAACAGATGTTTATACTTTTACATTCTTCAGCTCATTAAATCAGAAAGTTTCCATTTGGTGTTTTCATATCAATAACAGCAACATTAACAAAATAATTGGAATTTTAATTGCCAAACTTGTTCCTTTAAGTCAGCTGCAGTCACCTGGTGGGCAGCAGAAGAAATGCATTTTTTTAAATACGAGCTTTAAAATCAGAAATACAGTCAGTGTATTTTTAAAGTTTTTATTGATCAGTGTGTTGTTTTAAACAAACTTGGGTCACTGCAGTTTATCCAGACAAGGTAACATGAATGTTTTTTCTGACAAGGAATTATTTTAGTAAAAACCTAATCCAAGCATAAACTCAGTTCATAAACCTAAACCCCATTTCTAAAGTGAAGTTACACATTACAGGCTCCAGGCTCTGTTTCACGTAAGGACCTGGGGCCTCATGTACAAAGACTTGCATGGATTTCTAACTAAAACATGGCGTAAGGTCAAATCCAGACAACTGCATAYGCACAAAAATATCCAGATGTATCAAACCGTGTGTATGCCGGAATCCACTCACATTGTACATCACAATTAAYGTGGAACTGTGMATGTGAAACTCCTCCCCTGACACACTTTCATTTAAATATGTTAAACAGATGCAAATTAGTTCCTGCATGTGTGAGATGTCACGTCTTTTAYTGTGCATGCCTGTCACATCAGTGTCACGGAGCTAGCCTGGTAAAAACCAGCCCCCTGTTCTTCGTTTTGCTTCGTACAGATCATACAAAATGACTCTCGTCTATTGAGAAGCAATTTCTTGCTGGAGGCGTGGCCTCTGTTGAAGTTTAAAATGAWTGGATCTGATTTACCCAATTGGTAATGGTCGGCCACGACGWATGCAGTGYGACAGCTCCACTGTGAWGGAGGCTAAGCTAAGAGGCTAACCGGAAATTGTGTGYGCWGTAAACAACCYTACTGAGAGGAGCGAAGTACCGAGCGGAACGAGATAGCTGTAAATAAATGCTGCAGGCTTTGTCAGACAAATTTAATTTAATTTGGCAGCTAAAGCTCAGGGTTTGACAGCTAAAATTCTGAAAGCTCAGAGTTTGACAGCTAAAATTCTGAGTTTGATAGCTAAAGCTCAGAGTTTGACGGCTAAAATTCTGAGTTTGACAACTAAAGCTCAAGGTTTGACAACTAAAATTCTGAGTTTGATAGCTAAAGCTCAGGGTTTGACAGCTAAAGCTCAGAGTTTGACGGCTAAAATTCTGAGTTTAACAGCTAAAGCTCAGGGTTTGACAGCTAAAGATCTGGATTTGACAGCTAAAGCTCAGAGTTTGATAGCTAAAGCTCAGTTTGACAGCTAAAGCTCAGAGTTTGGCAGCTAAAGCTCAGAGTTTGATAGCTAAAGCTCAGTTTGACAGCTAAAGCTCAGTTTGACAGCTAAAGCTCAGAGTTTGACAGCTGAAGCTAAGGTACCTCAAAGATGGGCAGGATGCGACAATCTCTGACATAGCGCTCAAAGGGATAGTTCTTGGTATAGCCCAGCCCTCCTAGGATCTGCAGAGCCTCGCTACAACAAATCCAGGCTCCCTCTGAGCTGAAGACCTGCACAGACACACAACACATCCTGCAGGCTGAGGATTATTGTTCCAAACTGGGTTCAGATGATGAAGCTGTCTAACCTTGACAATCGCAGCCTCCAGAGAACAATCAGGAACTCCTGGTCTGTCCATCATCCCTGCTGTCAGGTATGCCATGCTCTCCATCACATAGGCATTCAATGCCATCAATGCAAACTTCTCCTACAGTGACGGAAGGAACAGACTACTCACTTATTCCTGACTACACTGAACATTAGATTTCACAAAGAAAATGTGACTGTACTTGAATCAAACCAAATTCACTCAGTCTTTTGTTGAACTGTTTCCTGGTTGCAGCGTACTCTGAGGTAAGCTCTACAGATAAACAGAAAATAAAAAAATAATAAATATATTACAGCACCACAGCCACAAGCGTGAAGACAGTACTGAAATGTACCAATCAGCTTTTTGATCATTCCGGCGCAGGAACTGCCCATGCTAAACCTCCCAGAGTTCAAGATGTTCACAGCAACCTGTCCAACACAAAGACAATGTTTGACAAAACCTTTAGAATTTAAAAATGTTCACAAAAAATTAAACAGATTTGTGCATCCAGCACCTGGCTGACATCAGGAGCTACAGATTCATACACTGAGAAAGGATTTGTAGTCGTGTAGTTTGTTTCCAACACAATGCCCTTATTGTCAGAGCACACATTTTTGAAAGTTGGAAACTGCAGAACAATGTTGATGCAGTGTGTGTTTAATAACTGCATCAGTGAAACTGTTAGATGGATCTTATCAGCCTAAATTAATTCAATTAGTTCACTTTGTCTGGTTAGACGTTTACCTTAAATCCACCTCCAACTTCTCCGATAACATTTTCCACTGGCACAGGCACGTTGTCGAAGGACACTTCACAAGCTAAAAGAAACAAAGTTTCCCATTTTTGTCATTTTACTCTAGAGTTTGTCACGGTGTTACACCATTCCAGTGAAAAATCCAGAGACATTTTTAGAAACAATACAGCAAGACAAGAACATTAAACCAAAMCCAGAGCAACACAAACCCTGACGGTCAGACCCCTGCTGTTATCAGTCTGGATGTTGTTTCACTCATCATGTACATCCATCCTTCTTATTTGGCATCAATTTCACAAATAAAACTTTTTTAATGTGATCCTGTTCTGAACACATGACTGAATGTATAAAGGATATACAACAAGCAGATGAGGTGTGCTTGTAGAACTGAGAATGAAAAAGTTCTACCTGAGCTATGCTGACATACGAATGAGAGGCTTACTATAGGAACCCCTGATGCCCAGCTTGTCCTCAGGTTTGCCACTGGTGACTCCCCCAAAAGCCTTCTCCACAATAAAAGCTGAAATCTTATCCTTCTTTATGCCGTCGACTTCCATTTCTGTCCTGGCAAACACAGTCATAATGTCTGCCATGCCTCCATTTGAGATCCATATCTGACCAAAACAAAAAGTCTTGTATAAGTTTTATATGGAGAAAACAGAGTCAGTAAAAACAGCTGAGAATCTGATTCATCTTACTTTTGAGCCATTGATCAAGTAATGTTTTCCATCTTCAGAAAGAGTTGCTCGGGTCTGAATGGAAGCTGCATCACTTCCACTAGAAGGGTTCAACATCAACACAGGTTAATAATCGTCTAGAAGTAGATTAAATGACATGCTGGATATAACTAAAGCTTACTAAATAAATAAGTAAAAATAACAGGTGATGATTCTAGATTAGTTAACCTCTTAAGCCCCAAGGGGTTTTCTTGATGTTTTTGCTCAAAATACCACGCCGAAATGTAATTGAGTATNGTTTGCAACATTAGATAATGCCTCCTTATGATGACAGAAAAGAGAAAGACAGAGATGCAGTCAGTCATAACGCACGGCTGCCACCGTGTTAAAAATATTATTAAATAAAAACAGAAAACGAGTAGATTTGATTTATTCAATAAAATGTCTCTACGGAAAATCTCATGTTTCGCACATCTGCGCCAGTGGTTCTGAAGTTAACCCGTAGTCTGCTRCGACACTGTTGGAATAACAAGCACCACTTCAGCCAAAGTTTTAAAATCAGAAAAAAATTCTCCAGTCAAAGTGATCAGAAGTCAGCAAGACTTTTTCCAAGTCCTACAAGCTCTGGCTTTAGCAGGAGGAAATCCTGTAGCGTGCGCTCCCGCTGCACCACTGCTGCGCCTCACAGACGTTCCAAATCCTCCTGTCCTCAATGTGCTGTCAGCTCCTGGAGATGCATTAAGTATGGTGTCTAGATCTGAGATGATGATCAGATGGAAATATTTTATTTCTTTTAGATTAAATAAGACCTCCGTGATGTAGACCTACTCTGTGTAAAGCTGAAAATGTGTCTGTGTGTGAGTGTGATGCCACAGAGCCGTCTTGTGAAGTCTCGTTGATTTTTTTTCTTCACCTCACCTGGCTTATGTATTAAGTCTTCCAGACTTAAGCCTGGATACTTTAAYAAGACGTGAGCCAGCGGGTTGATGATTGCGCAATTTCTGCGCCTTTTCCTGACCGAGTATWAACGGGCTAAAGATGCGTGGGCCAGAAATGATCATAAATCCTCCCTCATCCCTCCCAACAGCTCATTTAAAGTATATAAACTACAATAATAATGGCTGGATAGTGTTTTTTACACTCAACATCAGTGTTAAGATGAGTGAAGTAAAGCCGTTTTTATTTTATTTTTTATTTTTTAACGGTGGACGAAAAAAAAGATGCGACCAGCTGCGAGCTCCCATTCATCCTTGGGATCTGGATCAAACCAGCTGCTCTTTGAGCTCTTTTTAAAACTGGCTTCAGACAAAAAAATATCATTTTAAACAAAATAACATGCAGAAGGAATTGAGCTGCTTGGGTCCTGTTCTGGTCCAGCTCACAATCCTCGGAGCTGCCACAGGTGAGGACCACTTGCCCTCTGCAGGTCAGGGGTGTTAATTGCAATCTGTCAAAATGGCGGATGGCCTTCAGATTTTTCCGTCATTGCGTAAAAAAAACATTCAAATACGGAAAATATTCCGTTAACCTCTGGTTCACAACCTCAGTCACATTCCAAACTCTACTATGGTGAAGACCAAAGAGCTATGTAAGGACACCATCAACAAAACTGTAGATCTGCACCAGGCTGGGAAGACTAAATCTGCAATAGGCAAGCAGCTTGGTGTGAAGAAATCTACTGTGGGAGCGATAATCAGAAAATGGAAGACATACAAGACCACTACTAATCTCCCTCGATCTGGGGCTCCACGCAAGATCTCAGCCCGTGGGGTCAAAATGATCACAAGGACAGTGAGCAAAAATCCCCGAACCACACGTGGGGACCTAGTGAATGACCTGCAGAAGGCTGGGACTAACATAACAAAGGCTAATGCCAGTAACGCACTACGCCGCCAGGGACTCAGAAGATCCTGCAGTGCTGGATGTGTCCCCCTGCTTGAGCCAACTGGGCCCATCTGAAGTTTGTTAGAGAGCATTTGGATGTTCTAGAAGAATGTAATATGGTCAGATGAAACCTGCATTTCCCCTACCATTATCCTTTAGGGCCCAGATTATAATCAGTCTTTAAAATGTGGTAAATAAATTATTTTCAGTGATTGAGAGGAAGTTTTTTTGATAGTTGCATATTTTTAACTGTTGTCTTTTATATCTACAAGAGTTAAGAGTTCTTCTGAAATTCTAATGACAGGGTTTCCCCTACATGTAACTGATTGTGGCACACTCCCATGGCAAAAATCATAGCCACCACACTTTCAGAATAAAGTTTTTTAGTTTTTTTAAATAATAGGCCTATATTAGGCTAAAACAATGTAAAGCATATCATATATTTATATCCTATATTTGCACTCTTATAGAACCATAATCAGACTTTGAAACTCTTAACATCAATGAAGAGTTAAGATATATTTTATTTTGAAAAACCAACACCGTGGGTTCTTGTGCGCAGAGCGAGGCTGTGTGTGTAGTCCTGTATAGTTGTGTGTAGTCACAAAAATAGCAAGGCATGTATGTGTGTGTGATGTAACGCGCGATGAAAACTGTCTGATGCGACAGCTTTGCAAGCTACTTTTTTTTTCTTTCAAGGAAGACACGACAGGTGAAGCTACAGAATAATTACCGGTACTCTGATACAGCAAGAATCACCAACACAGACCCACGTGAGACCGGGAGTCAGTGGCTCCGTGCCTGTTCAGGGAATATACAGTAATTCTAAAGTCAAATTCAATACCCTTTAATACCTTTTTAATATCATTCCAATGCTTTTTAATACCAACATGACTTCAAGCTGCAGCGGCAATCGTTTCAACCTATTATTAGAGGTACTGGATACATTCGGTAGTTACTTCTTTGCCTAAATGAAACACTGACCTATATACAATCATTTGTTATTCAACCCTAAATTCAAGACAAAAAGGTGTTTTCTTTATTATGTGTAATGGTAAATGGACTGTACTTATAGAGCACCTTTCTACCCAACTAGTACACTCAAAGCTCTTCACACTACAATCTGTGTTCTCATTTACCCATTCACGCAGCACTCTATTAGGTCTCTACAATGCTAACATGTACAATCAACTATGGAGACTAATCAGTGCCAATCACATTAATACACTGATGGGACACACATCAGAGGCATTAGGGGTGAAGGGTCTTGCTCAAGGACACAACAACTGTGACAGCTGGATGAGGGATCGAACCGATGACAGCAGGCTATCAGCAACAGGTCTGCTCTCGCATGTCTCAGGAAATCAGAACCAAAATGCCCTGATGTCACACAACCATCCTCTAAATAACATCTGTGTATGYCCATCTGTTTTTAAACATGTATTAAAACTTTTGTTAAACATGAGAATGAACGGTCCAGCTGTGTTATCACTCCACCACCATCACACACAGTTTTACTCACAGTCACCATCTTTTATMTGCATATACGCTGACAATACCAGCATACTAAAGAATGACTGTAAAGGATTCATTAATCAACTTCTTAAAAGAATTAAGTTTTTTAATTTTTCATACCGAGCAGAGGGTTACCTGCAATAGCTTTCAAATATCACCTTTTAAATTGAACAAAGGTGCAAAATCTTCCTTACTGTGTCAACTTTTATCACCAAGCATCAACATGCATAAGATGTTTTTTATGTTTAAAAATCACAATTTATAAACTTTCTTGTAGCTAAAAATACTTTCAATTACTAACTATGACTGAAAATAATAAAAACTTACTAAACAAACAAAATCAACAGAATCTACGTGAGAACTGTAAATTATATTTCATGTGATCCTGCATTAGCCTGCATTTACATAAAGTCTGATCCCAAATAAATAAACAATTAAGCTTAAATTCTCAAAAGTCTTACTTTACTACAGTGTAGGATTTAAATTAGCTCATATTTATCTACTAACAAATAAAACTGACTTCTTCATAGAGAATGCCCTCCCTGAGTTTTTGGGAAAACAATGAAAAAAATCTGACACACAACTTTACTTTACTTTTGTTTAGTTTAAACAAATATAACTATTTTAGAGTTAATGTGTGTCTGTTTGTTCCAGTAAACACACACCTGTTGATTGATGTTATCTCCCGGGTTATTCATCACTTTAATCTCCTCACCTGCTGCACCTGTCTGCTCCTCCCTCCTCTCTCCGCTCTGCTCCTGTCCAGCTAACTTTAGCTAAAGCTAGCATCCACCATCACCAYTCCTCTCAGGTGGTGGAGTCAGTAATCCTTCTGCAGGTTTATCTTGTCTGACTTTTAACAATCTTCCAGCTTTGATATTGTCTGTTCTTTTTTAGACGTGTCCTGACAAATAGATTGTATTTAACACATCGCTCAAACTTCTGCTACTAGAGACACTTAAGTCCCGCCCCCACACTATTTCTGATTGGCCAGTAGGCCTGTCTAAAGTGAAAGCTGCGTCTCAGATAAGCCCAGAGAAACGTTTGTTAAATCTGTTTTCAAAGCAGCGCATCAGATTCCAGCATGGCGAAAGTGTGCTAGTTGTTTAAAAATTAATACGTCGTCAGATGGCATTTATTACCTTTTAATACTTTGTAATGGCTTTAATTTTTGCTTATTTGATTTACTACCTTTTAATACTTTTTACAACCCCGCAGATACCCTGCTGTTCTAAAAATAGTGCTGATCGGCAGCGCAGGTACGGGCTAATGTAATGTCCCTCAACTTTTAAAAACGTAACCAGAGTTGTTTGTGAACTCAAAACACCATAAGTCCAGACAGAATGAGCTGCTGTTAGTCCACACACTGAGCAAGCTCCTCTCCCCTCTCTGTCACACACCAATTGAGCTGTAGCAGACAGAGGAGGAGCATTAACCCTTTAGGGCCCAGATTTGAAATGTGGAAAATAAATTATTTTCAGTGGTTGAAATTTTTTTGAAGTATTTTTTTGGATAGTTGCATTTTTAACTGTTGTCTTTTAATATCTACAAGAGTTAAGAGTTCTTCTGAAGTGTTGCAAAGACAATTTGTAGAAACAGGACATGATTTGAGTTTTTTTTTACTGATAATATTTTCTTTTAAACATGTTACAGAAGTAATAAGAAGCAGGTTTATTTTGAATAAACATAATAAATGTGTTC